ACAGAACGATGTAAGTGAACATATAGAGCTCAGACCTGATTAAGAGAGGGGATTGGGCTGCAGCTGACTGTCATCAGGTAGGGTAGAGAAGCAATGAGTCCCAGGCTGCTGTTCAGCCAAACCGGCTGCAGACGTCAAAGCCTGATGATAAGCACAAAATACACTGGGAGGTGAGTGCTTCCCTTGATATCTGTGCATCTGGAGATGGAGAGAGATGGACTCCACCCTGCTGGACAACGCATTAGTGATTATTAGAGTGATTACTGACCCTTTTGAGTTGCCTATATCCATCATCACACTCTTTCACTAAGCTGTTTATTTAGGTTTCTCCTGTTTCAAGCAGACCCAGAGATAGGCCAGAGATAGGAGCTCTTGAGATGGCCTTCTGTCCCGCTAGATAATCACATCACAGATCTGTGTGAGGACAGAAGAACAAGAGGACAGCTCTGTTAGGAAGACAGAGATTGTCCCAGAGTTCAACAAGCTTGTGATTTAAGCATTAATGGGGGTAGAGATTAAAAACACTCCCTTATGAGCCGTGAAAGGCAGATCGCTTATCGCTGCATTCCTACTGGGGATTGAGTTGAGGTTACCATCCAGAAATCCTCCAGAGTCAGAATGAAAGCAGACATGCCTTTAGATTCCCAGAAATAAATGTGTCTGGGAAAATTACAGTGACATCATTTTTAGTCTTATGAGTAGTGTAGGCCCATGGGACATTTATAGAGACAATGATAAAAAAAAGACCTAAAATGCTTTAAAGTCCAATTAAAAAGGGTTATCTGGAGTTCTTCTGCCATCTTTCTAGCTCCGCACAATTACATAAAGAAAAAAAAAAGTCTGAAACCTACAACCAAGTCTTAACGGAACAGTTGACCCAAAAATTAAAATTCTATCATCTGCATAATTGATAAAAGTAAATGACAGAATTTTAATTTCATGGGTGAACTATCCATTTAATGAGGTACTTACTTTAAAATAACCTTAAGCATTTTATGTGCATTTCTCATGTTTCCAGGGATTCTGGAAGAAGGAGGAGGCTTTAGCTCTCAGGTTTATATCAGAGCTGTCAGAACGTGTCTGGCTAAGCTTACTGCCATACATCCATTTAGGCACAGCTGAGAGCATGGGGGATTTTGAGAGTCTTTGCCTGAGATTGTCTCATAACATCAGCCCAGACGGGCCAGAACACCATGGAATGGATTAGAGTGATTCAGAAATCTGGAGAGCACATTTGGTCCCCGTTGTGTCACTTTCCTTAGGAAAACAATGATTCTGGTCATATTTCTGTTCTATTGGTGAATGAAAAACATTCGTGGAGTCACGTACTATCACTCTTCCAGAACTTTGTTTGTGTTTGCTGGCGGAGCATCCAGATGTCAGTTTGATGACCAGATTTCACTGCAACACAAATTGTGAAATATTAGATATGTCAAGATGGTCATTTCATTTGGGATGAAAATTTGATGGGTTGAGTTTTATGCTTGTTTGGACTAAGACAACTGACCTACTTCATAAAACTAGTACCTACATTCTCCAATTTCTAATCTGTATCATACTGCCATGGTGACTGACTGCATTAATAAATCCCCATTAATAATCTCTATCTTTCACCTCCAGCGTAACACTTTAGACTCTGTGCATATTTGAGGGTGTGTGCAAGTGTATGTGTGATGAATGTAGCTATAAAGTGGCATGACTGAAGACCAAAGTTAGTTTAGTAGCTTTGAAGTGAGACATCAAGACAGATGTGAACGCAACAGGCATTTCATAATGCTTTTTGTAACTTTAAAACTGTACAAAATAATATCAAGATATTTGAAAACAATTTATGCAGTTTTATGTGACTAGTTAATAGACTTTATGCATAAATAAATGCATATTATGAGTATATGCAGAAACTTTATGCATAAAATCTACATAACATTTATGGATAAAATTTATGTATTTTATGCAAGAACAAATTTAAGCATAAAATTCATGCATACACTCAGAGAGCACACTTCCCGACTGCCCACATAAAAACTGGAAAGTACTTTCTCGATTTGGCAAACTCAGATTCACACAACACAAGGTTTTTATCAGTCCGCCTGGAAATAAAATTGTGTTCACAAGGTTTAATGAGAGGTCTGGCCATGAGGGACAACATTTACATGGAAATTCATTGGTTAGTCAAGAAGACTTACTCCCAAATTGTCTAGGGTGACTTCATTCACCACAAATATCAGTGTTCACTGCTATATGGATGGATGATGGATTCCCTGTAGTGTAAGATGCCAAGAAAACACACCTTTTGGTTATTTTGCATTTGTATTTTAGCAATTAACATCTAGCTAATTTACCTTAAAAAATAAAAATAAAAAATAACTACGATGCACTAATTCTAATTTCTTATAATACTTGGGACAGAAAGTATGCAAAACAGGACATCGCTAGTGTGCGTGATCATGTGCTGCTGGGAGGGCAATTTTGTTTTGTACACAATTAAAGACGTTTGTCATCTTACACATTAAAAAAGAATGTGCCGCTTCTCATTTGTAGAAACACACAAATACAGAATTATACAAGGGCGTTCATGTACACAGGTCTTGTTTATGTGATGTTAGGAGAAGAGGAAACATTCTTCCTAACAATTATTATATCAATAAACATGTCAGGTTTTGGCTTGTGTAAGTCAGCGCTTAGTTTTATTAACATTTTTAGGAGCTGTAGGATGCATGCCCAGTTTAGCCAATTAAAATATATGGCTAGCCATGCACAGTATCAAGCCCGATAGATGTGCTTACAAGATATTCAGGGTGTTTCTGTAATGAGGGAGGGGTGCTTCAAGCTGTGAGTGCGGGTGAGGCCTATCATGGTGGCCATGCACCCATAAAATCACAAAATGCTAAGATTCACAAACACAAATGAGCTATCACTAGGAGATTTGAGCTTGACCAAACACAGATTGTCATTTATTGGTGTTTTAACTAAATAAAATTCATCGAGGTTTGTTGTTCCAGCACCGCTGCCTTAAAATATAATGGCCTTAATACAGTCACACCTGTTGAGACAAATGCAGAATCAGTTTATGATCAGACTGTGGCAGATATCTTAGTATTGTTAGTTAGGAAAACACAAGACCACCCAGCATGAACTCCAGATGGCATTCTAAAGCCTGTATGACAAGTTTGATGGCAAAATGTGTGGTGTCCTAAATGACACCAGAAATTGTTCTAGATTTAGAGCTCAGCTGCTCAAATCCCAAATGCCAAAAAAAATCTTTGTCTACTCTTTGCTGAAAACCACTTAAAAGACTATTCCAGGTTCAATACTACTTAAGCTCAATTGAGCATTTGTGCACAGAATTTATGGCACGTTATCACAAGAATTAATGTCTAGTTGTCCCCCGTTTCCTTTAAAAAACAATATGCATGCTAACATGACTTTAGTGTGGAAAATAATCACTATCTATTATGTGTAATAATTAACCTTGAATGTGTCAGTCAAAAGTGAAAACTTAATTAGTTTTTCTTATAATATTACTTTTAGCAAGCACTCAAGTTCAATGACTGTCGGATATGGCGTAGTTAGTTGAGGATGCAACACCTAAAACAAAAAGGCAAATTAATTAATTTGTACTTTACACCCGGCTACTCGCTTCCTGCATTCCACAACTCTAGACATAACTCTTTACTAAAGAGTGTGGTAATGTACAACAAAGACAAAGGTCTTGACTTTTCGAGGGTGATGTTTATTTGCTTAGTCGGTGTCAGGAGCATTACCCACCTGCTTAAGTTATTAATAATGCAGAGTGGCTGTGCAAACAAGGGACATTTTTGTAGAGGGTGGAGACAGAGGGGCATTAAATAACGGTCAGAAAGGGCCAGGCTTTTTTAACCTCTTAACCTCAGGATGCACCTACCACCCACATGCTAGCAAACACTAAGCAGCAGCCTCTGGATAAGGAGGATCTGACACTCTGGCCAAATACTGCAAACCCTTACTGATTGCATGATATACAAAATGAATGGGTGAGATGAAAATCTTAGCTAAAATCCAAACTGTACCATTTTGCAAAACTTTTTAAATTATTATTTTTTAAATTAATATTTTCGTTATAATTTCATAAATTATCATATATTTTCATTAAGAAGGTTGCCTGCATCAGTGCTATATATGCAGAATTTATAGCACCATGGCAAATGAAAATGTATTTTATCTCAATTGAGAAAGTGAATTTGGAATTTAATGTGATGCGATAAAAACATAACATCGCATTCTACACAGAAAAACAAACACAAAATGCAAACAGTACAATCCAATTCACGAACAAATTACTTTTATGAACAAATTCTCTTTAGTAAATCAAAAACATACAGCACAACCAGTGTAGTCTGATTAACATACAAATGACTCTAATGAACAAATTATTTTTAGTGAATGAAATACATACTCCGCAACCAGTATAGTCCCATTATGAACAAATGACTCCTATGAGCCGATTCTTTTTAGTCAATCAGAAATATACAACACAACTAGTGTAGCCTGATTCCTGAAACAAACACTCTTTTGAGTCAGATCTTTTAATGAATGGTTCAAAAAGACAAGTTACCAGTTTGAATCAGAGTGAGAATTTCATGTCAGCAAAATGGACATGACTGAAATGAACACTGGAATTGAATCAGAATCTAATTAAAACTAAACAAATCAAGAGTTTGTGAGTGAGAATTAAATATACTGATCTGCTCTCTAAAACCAGCTATTGGCCCTTTCATATGTCCCTCCCCAATTTCCTGTTTCAATAGGAAATACAACAACACTGGGAAAAAATGACTAGTTTGAGCTATTTTTCAAGCAAAATAAACGAGACGGCACATTAAAGGCAATTTTGCGCAAATTTATCATGTTCTTCATTATTTATGTAATATAAAGCTACATAATTCACCAAGGTGAGGTGGAAGTGTAACCTAAAGCTTGTCTTATTTGACATCTTGAACATTTTCTGTGTTTCCATATAGGTTGTTGGGGACAGTCACAGGACCCAGCAAATCAGACAAATTCGGCAGCTGATACGACAGCAGTTCCATCAACACAATATCCATCAACAGGTTCAACAGCAGGTCCAACAGCAGAACCAACTGCTGGAACTGCTGTTCAAGGAACAATTGTCCCAAGCCAACCAAGTTCTGTTAACACTACTGACATGGGTATGAGCCCTCAAGATTGTCCCTAAATTAATTTCTTATGTTTTTAGTTGGTGATACTACTAATCCTTGATTCTTTGGTTTTAGCACATCAATTAGTCAATGTTGCTGAAGCCAGCCTGACTACATCTCTACCAGGACAATTAGAAATATACACCAAGGAATCTAATGTAAAGGTGATAGAAACGATACAGATGGTGAACAATACGGTCTCAAATCAAGGTTCCAGAATTGCAGATGTAAGTAATTTTGGGTCACTGATGTCATGGATTAGAATTCTGGGAGGAAAAAAAAAAACAAAGGTCCAGAAAGAATGTAGATTTGCTATTTCAGTTAAGAACTATCAGAGTTGTTTTTTGTTGTTTAGTCAACAGCTTTCCAGTTCATTTCAGTTCATTTGGCCAATGCTAATTTAGCTGACATTTTTCTAAACCCAACATTCAGGATTCACATTGTTCAAGTTTCATCAGGTGGTACAGATGGTAATACTATTCCTTTATACTACTACTCCAATCTACTTCCAAGAATACAATGGCACTACCATTGCACTTCTCCAAAACAGATGGTTTCCTAGTACTTGGTTGGTTTAGTACCATGGTCTTTTTGTTACTCTTTGTAATTAACTTTTTTTTTTAAAGTACCATTGTACCATAGCAGTACAATGGTATTTTTGAAAGAAAAGTACATGGATCTTAGTACCATGGTATATTTCAAAGTAATAATAATAACATATTACCATGGTACTGCCATAGCACTTTTTTGTAAGGAGAGTACTATAAATATAATTGTGATGATAGCTGCGATAGGCGCAGGATCAGTATTTTTTTTTTCCATCATGATAGGCATCGGTTATTCTGGCATGACACTATGCGCTATATCATACTGTTGTAAATGCTACAACAGTATGATATAGCGCAGGGGTCACCAAACTCAGGGCTGGAGGGCCGATGTCCTGCAGAGTTTAGCTCCAACTTGCCTCAACACACCCGCCTGGAAGTTTCAAGTTGGGGTTGGCGATATGGCAAAAATATCATATCACAATTTTTTTTTTTTATAGGAAAATCACGACTCAAAATTTAATCACGATTCTTTGTCATGTTGGTTTTACTATTTTGCAAGCCAAACTAATTTCCCTATTTTAAAAACAAAGCCTTACAAGGTAACAAATGATAAAAATAAAAAATAAAAGAATGGCAGACATTTAAGCCAAAGTGGGCGAAGATATAAAAAAAATATCTTTGTCATTATTTTAAAAAATTAAAAACTAAGTGACATGACATAGAACAAAGATACACATTACAAGTACCCATAATATACAAATAAAACAAGCTTTATTTTTCAGGTACAGTAGGTGTATTTAGCAGTAGCGTTCAAGAAACTGAATCAACAAATATAAAAATAAAACACTATATACACTTCACTGTATAAATTATACATTGATTCTTATCAAAGCAATTGTATTAAAGTTCTTCAGTCAAGAGATGCGAGTTATTTTTCTCTTTGTGTTTTGTTGTTTTATTAACATTAAAGCAATAGTTCAACCAAAAATGAAAATACTATCATCATTTACTCACTCTCAAGTTGTTTTAAACCTAAATGAGTTTCTTTCTTCTGTTGAACATAAAAGTTATTTTGAAGAATGGGAGTAGCTAAACAGTTGCTGGTCCCCAGTGACTTCCATAGTATTTAAAGTAAAAAAATCTGCTTTTCTGTTCAACACAAGAAAGAAATTAATACAGGTTTGGGACAACATGAGAAAGAGTAAATAATGACAGAATGTAAATTTTTAGGTGAACTATACCTTTAAGCAGCAGCATGTTTAGTACTGTCACTTTAAGACCTGCACGCATCGAATATATACAGACAGTCAGGCACGCATCCGTTTTTCTCTCAACTGTTTACGTTCACTTTAGACATAGCCAACTGTGTTTATATGTAAACCTTGTGTGTTTTTGACAGTATTAGCGCAATCAGATGCTAAAGATAACTTAGTCCAGTAATCAGGCGCTGTTTGACAGGCTTTTTAGTGTGTGCACGCTTCAGGTGTATGAAAAATTTACTTTTGTGATTGCGAATAAGTGCAGTGTCTTGTGTTGAGTTAACATTTGATGTATGTTGCGATGTAGAGTATGAGATGGAGGCACCAGAACTGCTACTGATAGAATGTGCGTTGTAGCATGATACTACGATATTTCTTCAAAAAAAGCAGATCGTGGAGACATTTTAATCGTCCACGATGAAAATTCATGATATCGCACACTCCTAGTTTCAAGTATACCTAGTAAGACCTTAATTAGCTGATTCAGCAACCCTCTACATTGCGAGCAAATCACTCGCATAAATGACTAAATCTTCACTCTGGGCGACTAAATGATGTCTAATATTAGCCAATGGCTAATAAATTCTCAGATTTTACTCACCAGTAGGGCTGTGTATCACCAGCAAAGTCACGATACGATACGTATCACGATACAGAGGCCACGATACGATACGTATCACAAAAGGGGACTGCACTGAATTTCACCTCAGCAGAATTTATAAAAACAGCTGTTTATTAAACACTGCTTACTATAGTGCCATTTCTAACTATTGGCAGAGCAGGCAGTTGACCTCTGCATTATGAAGGGCCTCCATAACTGTACCACAGTACAATATAGGTAATGGCATATGTTTCATGTTTACATTGTGCACTCCCCACCAGGTACAATATTCTGTTTGTTTGCATCTTGTTTTTAAGCCCATAAATAATAATGTACTCGTTCTAATAAATGTATATTGTAATGTACTC